CGCCCCGCCAAGTGTCTTCTGTGAATTCCTCAATTCACATCTCTCCTGACAGACTGTTGAGTGTGTGACCGTCTCATTATCCGTCTTGTCCTGAGTACTGAACAGGGCACACACTAGGCACACAATAAGTGAGGGTGGAATTGCATTGACTTGGGGGTGGCCAGGGGAGTGGGGATATAGGGCCTGCAGGCCTCATGAAGGAGTCCGGGGAGCTGGGGGGCTGACTGCAGACTGTCCGTCCTCTAGGTACAGCCTGTATACCCGCACCTGGCTTGGGTACCTCTTCTACCGACAACAGCTGCGCAGGGCTCGGAATCGCTACCCCAAAGGCCACTCCAAAACCCAGCCCCGCCTCTTCAACGGTGAGCTCTGGCTGCCCTGACCCTGGCCAGCACCCGCCATGCTATGTCCCTGACCCCGTCTACCTACTCCCCCACAACCCTGTCTACCTCCCCTTCACTGCCCCCAACTCCTGGGCTCCCTGCCTGTTGCCCCACCCACAGCCCATCTCTGTCCCCAGGAGTGAAGGTGCTTCCCATCCCTGTCCTCTCGGACAACTACAGCTACCTCATCATCGACACCCAGGCCCGGCTGGCTGTGGCTGTGGACCCTTCAGACCCTCGGGCTGTGCAGGTGAGAGGAAAGCAGGGACCTTCGCGGACTGGCAGCTTCCCCTTGCTAGAGGGGCTGACCCCGGTCATCTGCTTATGGGAAGGGATCCTTCCACGTTTGCACTTCCACACGCACGTGCAAAACACACCTTGGGGGAGGGAGAGTGTCCATGGCATGGCTAGACAAAGGGGGGCCGGGCAGGAAAGGGGGTGCAGAGTCAGAAGGATTGGGATGCTGGCCCAGGACTGTGGATCTAGTGAGTTTGGGGCTGACTGTGAAGCCAAATTGGCACCTCTCTGGCCCTTTCTCTTCCATTAGTCAGTATCCGGTTCTCTCCATTTTCCCCTCCCATTCCTTATTTTTCGGTGTGCCCATTCCCTCCACGAGTGTCCCTCTGCCCTGCTCCCCCGTCCTCTGTGCGCCCCATGCTGGATCTCAGCTGCGCCTTTCCTGGCCCGCTCCATCCCCTCCCTCTCTCCTCTTCTCCCCTGCTCCCCTCTCCTCTCCCCTGCGGCCCTGGCTCATTCTGCTTCACGTGTCCCTCTGCATCCTGCTGCTCAGTCTCAGAACCTTCTCTTTTCTCTAGGCTTCCATTGAAAAGGAGGGTGTCACCTTGGTTGCCATTCTTTGCACCCACAAGCACTGGTAAGAGGTGGGAGTGGGGAGGCGTACAGACAGTCTTCCGGAGCCCACCCTTGCCCCTGCTGGACTTGCCAGGACTGGGCCCAGTGAGGATGACCTGGGCTGGGAGGTCAGGAATTTAGGAGGGTGGGCACCCCTCCACCTCATGAAATCATCCGGGCACCAGCAGAGACAGGGTAGAAGGGGTGGGTTTCCCACTCTCTACTTCTCAAGCTTCTGAAGCCCCAGAGGAGGGCAGGGTAGTCATTTATCTTTCATTTCATGGGCATGTATTAGATGCCTACTGTGCGCTGGGCATGGGCAAAACTTATTTTGATCTCTCCCATCAAGGAAACTGTAAGTCCAGTAGGGGAACTAGTCCTTTATAAAAGTGTATAGCAAACCCGGCGAGGTGGCTCACGCCTGTAATCGTGGCACTCGGGGAGGAGGAGGCAAGAGGATTGCCTGAGCCCAGGGGTTCGAAACCAGCCTGGGCCACTTGGCGAAACCTCATCTCTACAATAAATCAAAAAATGAGCTGGGTGTGGTGGTGCTGTGGTTCCAGCTACTGGGAAGGCTGAGGTGGAAGGATCACCTGAGCCCAGCAGGTCAAGCCTGCAGTGGCCGTGAACGTGCCACTGCACTACAGCCAGGGCAACAGAGTGAGACTCCGACTCAAAAATAAAATAAAATAAGATAAATAAAAGTGTACAGCAATTACAAACATTTAGGTGGCAGTTGGCATGGGGTCCAGGGTATGGGGGAACCCAGGCAGGGTGTGATGATATTTAGTTGGGAAAATGAAAGGATGGTGATCCTAAGTTGAGAGAGTCCAGAAAAATGAGTTGGCATTGGCCATGATGTGGTTGTGGGTGGTGACATTCTGGGCAAGGGAACAGCTTGAACGAGAACTTAGAGGTGTGGACTACTTGACTCAGTCCGGAAGTCACAGACTCAGGGCTTAAAGGCCTGGAGAAGCTGTGCGAAAGAGGGAACTCAGGTACAGTTGCCCCTCGAAGCCACCTGTCTGTCTCTGCTGTCCTGCAGGGACCACAGCGGAGGGAACCGTGACCTCAGCAGGCGGCACCGGGACTGTCGGGTATACGGGAGCCCTCAGGACGGCATCCCCTACCTCACCCAGTAAGTCCCTGACCCAGGCATGGAGTGGCTCCTCTGTGGGCCCTTTCTCTCGCCCCCCAGCCTTCAGTGGTGTTTCACGGCTATCAGCAATTGGATCTTTACTGATGCCCTTCCTGGCCCTTAGAGAGCAGACCTCACCCCATCTGTAGACTGGCACTGGCTTCGCCCAACTGATCCAGCCGTAGTTCCCGGAGGAGGAACAGGGGAGGGTTTGGATAGAAGACCCTGAGCACTGGGTGCCTTCTTTCTGGTGTAGAGGCCCACCCTCTTGCGAATCGCCCAGCCCCTTGAGCCAGAGATGACGCCGGGGATCCGCATGGCACTAGCTCTACCTTCTCTCCCCTACTGCCTTGTTCTCCAGTCCCCTGTGTCATCAAGATGTGGTCAGCGTGGGACGGCTTCAGATCCGGGCCCTGGCCACCCCTGGCCACACACAAGGCCATCTGGTCTACTTGCTGGATGGGGAGCCCTACAAGGGTCCCTCCTGCCTCTTCTCAGGGGACCTGCTCTTCCTCTCTGGCTGTGGTGAGATCCCCCAAGAGAGGGACAAATGGGGAGAAGGGGAGGGGCAGAGGCCACGGCAGCCACCATCCCACAGACGCCCCGAAGTATTGGTTTCAGCATAGACATTGCCTCAGCGGTTACCCTCATTCCACAGGAGATGGACAGAATGAGACAAGGCCCACAACTGAAAACTCACAGGGCATTTACTTCCCCTGTTCTCTGATACAGTGACTGGCAGGGCTAGGTTATGACAGTTGAGAGCCCCTAGGTGGGAGGGTGATCCCATGGATGGGTGAGGATCACCATCCCCAGGCTTCAGGGCATCCCCAGGGACAGCACAGGCCAAGAAGTGCCCCGTGAAAAAGAGCAACCTGACATCTACCTGCCATCTACTGAGCATGCTGCTCGGCAGTTCCTCTGCGTTCAGTTGTCACTGTGTGCAGTGGCGGTCTCAGATGGGCATGGTCAGGGGGACCAATTGGGCCCAGCTCCCAGTGGGAAGGAGGGAATAGATGCCTAGAGGTTGAAGGGCTGGTGGCCAACCAGAGCTGCACAAGCTGGCCCCCAACCCTCTCCGTGTGCCTTATGCCATACTGTGTTATTGTTGCACCTGTGACGTACCCCCTGGCCTCCACCCAGGACGGACCTTTGAGGGCAGCGCGGAGACCATGCTGAGCTCACTGGACACAGTGCTGGGGCTGGGGGACGACACCCTGCTATGGCCTGGTGAGACACATCTCCCCTTCTCCCCACGTGGCCTGGGACCAAGGCTCTCCCAGCCCCTCACTCCCCTAGAGACCAAGCCAACCCCAGTTCCTGGCCCAGAGGTGACACAGGTCCATCGCTAGTGGTTCCTGGGAGTCATTTCCAGGAGTGGGGGCAGAGCTCCAGCCTCCCTCCTTTCTGGGGTACTGGCTCTGTAACACCTCTGCTTCTCATGCCACTGTCCCCTGCAGCCAGCCCTCAGTCTTCTGAGAGCTCTGCAGGCCCCAGAGCATCCCAGAGAGATGGCTAATTGTTCATAGCCAGAGCCCAGAACAGAAAACAGCCTTTGCTTAAATGGAGGGAAGTCAGTAAATCCACCCTGCATGTAACCGTTGCTTCGTAGCTTATAAAAACATTCACTAACATCTCAGTCACTCCTCAGAACAAAGCCGGGCTCGGTGGTTCAGCCTGTAATCCCACGCCTTTGGGAGGCTGAGGTGAGTGATTGCCTGAGCCCACGGGTTCGAGACCCGCCTGGGCAACTTGGCGAGACCTCATCTCTATAATAAATCAAAAATTAGCCGGGCGTGATAGCGCGCACCTGGAGTTCCAGCTACTTGGAAGGCTGAGGCAAAAGGATCGCCGGAGCCCAGCAGGTCGAGGCTGTGGTGGCCGGGAGCGGCCACTGCACTCCAGTCTGGGTGATAGAGTGAGACTCCAACTCAAAAAAACCAAACAAACAAACAAAAACAATCCTCAGAACATATACTTATTTATTCATTCAACAAATACTTACACACAGCTAACACATACCAGGCTCTGTTCTAGGTACCGGAAACACAGTAGTGACATCTGTGTCCTGTGACATTATCTTTTGCCAAAGGAGAACATTGTGGCTCAGAGATTCTATGACTTGACTGAAGTCATGTGCTGAGCAGTGGTCGAGTCAGGACTGGGAAGCAGGCTTCCTGACTCCAAGGCTCAGGGATTGTCCCCGAACTGCTACTACCTCTTTGCTCATGGCTGACTCATGCCCAGTTAGAAAACCAGCTCCCTACAGGGTTTGGGGTTTTCCGGGAAGTGCCTGGGGGCAGGGAGGACTTGTTCTGACCACAAGCCATCTTTCTCCGCTCTGTGCTTTGGCCCCCGTGGCTGTTGGTAGGTCACGAGTACGCGGAGGAGAACCTGGGGTTTGCAGGCGTGGTGGAGCCCGAGAACCTGGCCCGGGAGAGGAAGATGCAGTGGGTTCAGCGGCAGCGGATGGAGCGCAAGGGCACGGTGCGGGAGTGGGGAGTCCAGGAGAGGCCACGTGGGCACTCGGCCCCGCGGGCACCCGTCTCTGGGGAGCCTGGGCCCGTGGGCGCCTCTCCAGAGCCCTGACCCGTCTGGGACCTGGGCCTTCAAGTCAGAGCTCCTGACCCCGGTGGGGTGGGGGCTGGCTCCCCTGGCTGGGGTCCATTTCCCAGCTTCTCCCCACCAATCCCGGCACCTCTCGGCCTGCAGTGCCCGTCCACCTTGGGAGAGGAGCGCTCCTACAACCCGTTCCTAAGGACCCACTGCCTGGAGCTGCAGGAGGCTCTGGGTCCAGGCCCGGACCCCACTGGGGACGATGACTGCTCCCGGGCCCTGCTCCTGGAAGAGCTCCGCCGGCTGAAGGACATGCACAAGAGCAAGTGACGCCTCCCACCCCCTCAGCCCACCCCCGCCAGGCCCGCCCCAGCGGCGGGGAGGCCGCCCATCACCACACCTCACCATCCTTCTCATTGTTAACACCGCCCCCTCCATCGGCACCCACGGCGGGCATCATTCCCCTACACTGGTCAGGGGAGGGACAAGGTGATGAGACCACACGACCAAGAGAAGGGGCCTGGTTGAAGGCTGGGAGGCCCCACAGAGTGAGGCGGAGGCATTAAGGGTGAGAGGATAGGAGGGGTCTCGGGACATCCTCAAACCCTACTAACTGGGAGGGCTCCCTTCCTTCCCCTACTTGTGAGACAGCAGCCAGAACCTGGGGGCTGCTGTCAGCTCCTCCCTCAGGAGCCTTATCTCACTCTGGCTCCGGAACCCAGGGAAGCAGGAGCTGTGGCCATGTTGAGTCTGTCTTCCCCCTTCCGCCATCCAGAGTTGGGGAAGAAACCCAGCACCCCAAAGTGGCCTCAGGTGTGGTGCCTTGGAAAAGTCGTCACTCATGGGGGCAGCCAGATTCTGGTTTCCTGAGACTCTGCCCTTCCTCTCAAGTCTCCCTGCCCATCCCCTCCTATAAAGGCATTTTCAGACAGAGCCATTCCTAAGAACACCGAAAGCCTGGCTGCAAGTCTGGCTTTCGGGCCACTCTCTGCCTCAGTGGTCCCCCTGCAGCCTGGGAGAGGGAGGGTCCTGGTTGCCAAGGAAACCTCCACCTCAGGCTGAGGAGACAGCAGAGGCCAGGATGTGGAGCCCGACAGTCCTGCAGGTCACATGCTCTCTATCTGGCCTGGTCCTGCCCACTGGCCTGTGCCCCTGCCCTGGGCCCAGGGGGCCCCTCCTTGCCGGGGAAAGAGCACCACAGTCCACCTTGGCCACTGCAGTTTTCTCCTTTTGGCCCTTGTTCTTAGGCCTGGCTGTCCGCCTCCCTCTCTCTGACTTATCTCTTGCTTTAGCCGCAACTCCTTTTTTCTTTGAGTTAGCAAAGATTGGTTTCACAGCCCTGACACTCATCTGGCCTTTTGCAGTTTGCCCAGAACATTCCCCGTGTGACTTCCCACTTGAGGGTGGCGCAGAGGCCCCTAGCAGCAGGGTGCAGAAACCCAAACTCTGCACCCAGAGTGCGTGGCAACTCTGGGACTCCAGGCCTGGGCCCCTCCTTCTGCCACCCTCCTCCAGCTCTTCTTCTCCTCTGGCCTCGGGTCCAGGTCCCTTTGGGCCACAGGGAAGAGCCCTATGGTCCTCAAGCAGGTATACCTTGGGTCATCCAGGAGCCTTCTCTTCCTGTGTGAGCCTTCCCTCAGGCTCTGCTGGCCTCTGGCGACCCTCCGAGAGGCCCCCTACCCTCAGTTTCCCCTCGTCACCTGGCTTCTGCTGCCTTCCTCAGCCACGGCCTTTGGCACACTCTAGCAATACCGCCAGACTAGTTAGAGATCCCCAGGACATGCAGTTCATGCCTCTGTGCCTTTGCTCATGCTGTTTTTGGAATGCCTTCCCCGGCTCCTCCTGCCTTGTCTGCCTGGCAAACACCTGTTCATCGCTCACGATCCCCTTCAAGGCCCCCCTCCTCCAGGAAGGCATCCCCCATGCTCCTCCCCCCCCAGCCTACCTCTGCACCTTGTAAATGCTTCTCTTGCGGCACTTATCACACTGCATTTTACTTGTTTACATGTTTGTCTCCCCTTCTAGACTGTGAATCCTTAAGGGCATGGACTGTATCTTATGCATCTCTGTATTTCTGCGCCTAGCACGGTGCCTAGCACACAGTAGGCGCTCAATAAATGTTGAATGAATGATTTAACCAAGGCTTGATCACTCAATAGTTTGTCTTTACTACTTCATGAATGAAAACAGCAGAGAACTTTCTCATGGTTTTCTTGTCTCGGTTCCTGGCCTGCTAACTTGGAGTTATTGCACTTCAAGGGCTTTGGCCAGAAATGATGCCCTAGCCAGGTGTGGTGGCTCTCTCCTGTAATCCCAGCACTTTAGGAGGTGGAGGCGAGAGGATAGCCTGAGCCCAGGGGTTTAAGACCAGCCTGGACAACTTGGTGAGACTCATCTCTATAATAAATTTTTTTTTTAAAGCCAGATATGGTGGCACATGCCTATAGTTCCAGCTACTTGGAAGACTGAAGTAGAAGGATCGCCTGAGCCCAGTAGGTCAAGGCTGCAGTGGCCGTGAACATGCCATTGCATTCCAATCTGAGTGGCAGAGTGAGACTCCAACTCAAAAAGAAAAATATTCCCTAAATATGTTTCTTCCATGGCCAATGGGCATTTGTTCAAGGTTGACTCAGTATTTTCCAAAGCTTGAGATGCACAGGTGTACCTCTAGTCACAGGGCTGTGGTTGCATGTGGTCCCAGCAGAGCAATAAATAGCACTTCAAGAGCACAGCCTTGGTGCTAGCCTGTCTTTAATGCCTCTAAAAAGAACGAACCAGCCAGTCGCAGTGGCTCACACTTGGAATCCCAGCACTTTGGGAGGCCAAGGCGGGAGGATCGCAACAGAGCACGTCTCTGTCTCTACAAGAAAAAGAAAAAATAAAAACAAAGAGCCAGGTTCTAGGTTCCCCCCATCCCCGCCTTAGTTGGGCAATTGTCTCTAGTTAAACTTGAGCAACTGTGTTTTGTTTTCATTGTGTTTATCTTTGGAGGTCAATATTTATTTATTTAGTCAGAGTCTCACTGTCGCCCAGGTGGCTGAAGTGCAGTGGCACGCTCATGGCCACCGCAGCCTCAACCTGCTGGGTTCAGGTGATCCTTCCGCCTCAGCCTTCCAAGTAGCTGGAACTGCAGGTGTGCGCCATCACAACCGGCTAATTTTTTTATTTGTTGTAGAGTCGAGGTCTTGCCAAGTTGCCCGGGCTGGTCTCGAACCCTGGGCTCAGGCAATCCTCTTGTCTCCACCTTTCAACGAATATTTATTTTTGACAAGTGAAATGAAAATGATTAAAGGTATTTATTGAAATGGGAAAAGGGGACAGCCCCCTCAATTCCCCTCCCACTGTGGGAGTTTCTGCTTTCTCAATAAATCTTGCTTTCTCAAAAAAGAAAAGAAAAGAAAGAAAGAAAAATGCAGCTGGGTACGGTGATTCATGCCTATAATCCCAGCACTTTGGCAAGAGGATTGCCAGAGTCCAGGGGTTCAAGACCAGCCTGGGCAGCTTGGTGAGACCTTGTCTCTACAATACATTAAAAAATAAGCTGGGTATAGTGGTGCACACCTGTGGTTCCAGCTACTTGGAAGGCTGAGGCGGAAGGATCCCCTGAGCCCAGCAGGTCAAGGCTGTGGTGGCCTTGAGCGTGCCATGGTACTCCAGCCTGGGTGACAGAGTGAGACTCCTACTCAAAAAAAAAAAAAAAAAAAGGAAAATGGAAAACAAACACGACACTTGGCTACAGCAAAGCTCTTGAAGGTGACCCTGGTATGGCTGAAGACCAGAAAGCACTGGCTCGGCGCCACATTCCTTGGGGCCAGGCCAAGGCACAGTTCAGCCTCCTCTCTTAGGTGGCCCTTGCTTCAGGCCAGGGACCTTGGCACAGGACCTTGCTGCTCTGGATCAGGGCTGCACCCAGTCTGGAGTTGAAGGGATGGCTGTGGTCTTCACCTTCCTGAAGAAAGGTGGTTTTCTGCGCTCTGTGATGTGTTTGGGTCATTAGAGTCTTGGGCAGTCGAGCCACGGGGCCAGGCCCTGAACTATGCAGGTCCCCTGAGTGTGCCCAACTTTGAGAGGCAATTGGTGACAGTTCTCTGGGGCTGGGGAAGCACTTTCCCAGGGTCTTGGGTGATTTTCCCAGTGTACCATCTGTCCTGAATGAGTCCATGCCCCTCCTGGAGCTGGCACTGAGCAGAACAGCAGGTGACACTTGCCTTACAGACCTGGGTCCCAGTCCCAGCTCTGTCATTCAGCACCCAAGTGACCTTGGGCAAGTCATTTCCCTGGCTTCAATTTCTTCACCTTTCTCTTTTTTTTTTTTTTTTTTTTTTTGAGTTGGAGCCTCACTCTGTCACCCAGACTGGAGTGCAGTGGCTGCTCCCGGCCACCGCAGCCTCGACCTGCTGGGCTCCGGCGATCCTTCCGCCTCAGCCTTCCAAGTAGCCAGAATTACAGGCATGTGCTACCACACCCGGCTGATTTTTTGATTTATTGTAGAGATGAGGTCTTGCTGCCCAGACGGGTCTCGAACCCGCGGGCTCAGGCAATCCACTCACCTCAGCCTCCCAAAAGCACGGGGTTACAGGCTGAGCCACTGAGCCCCGACTTCTTCACCTTTCAATGGCAACTCTGGATGAGTCAGAACTCTTCTAGGTGCCGAGAATTAATATTCAACACAAAAGTAGCTTAAACCAAAAGGAGAATTTATCAGCTCAAGAAATGGAGAAGTGTGGGATTATGTCATAGTGGTTTCAGGCATGGCCGAATCCAGGGTTTCAAAGGGAATCTTCAGGTGCTGTGAGGTAGTGTATGCCTGTAATTTCAGCATTTTTGGGAGGTAGAGGTGGGAGGTTTCCTTGAGGCCAGGAGTTCAAGACCAGCCTGGGCAACATAGCGAGACTTTTTTTTTTTTTTTTGAGTTGGAGTCTCACTCCATCACCCAGACTAGAGTGCAGTGGCCGCTCCAGCCACCGCAGCCTCGACCTGCTGGGCTCCAGCAATCCTTCCGCCTCAGCCTTCCAAGTAACCGAAACTACAGGCGTGCACTACCACGCCCGGCTAATTTTTGATTTATTGTAGAGATGAGGTCTCACCAAGTTGCCCAGGTGGGTCTCGAACCCACGAGATTCTTATCTCTACAAAACAAAAAACAAAGCAGGAAATCTTCATTCAGCTCTGCATTCTTCTATGTTGGTGTCATTCTCTGTCAGGCTTTCTCCCTGCATTGGAAAAATGGTCTCTAGAAGTTCCAGCCTTACTAGCTACTAGTTCATCAAACCTAGTGGAACCTCCAATAGTTTCACAGCCTGAGTTTCCTTGTTCCAACTTGGCTCATGTGTCCAACTCTGAACCAATCATAGGAGTCAGGGGAATGGACTTCTCTGACTGACCACATTAGGTCATATGACCATACACTGAAGGGCAGTGTCAAACCCGACTGAACTAGGGTGGACTGTTCTGTTCCTGAACAGAACAGAGTGTCTGATACCATAAATGATGCAAGACAGCAAAACCATCAACCAGCAATAATCCCACTTACTTGAGGCTATTCGCAGGGTCAGATGAGAAAAGGCACACGAAATCACTTTGAAAAATGCTGGCTGGGCTCAGTGGCTCAACCTGTAATCCCAGCACTTTGGGAAGCCGAGATGAGTGGATTGCCTGAGCCCACGCATTTGACACCAGCCCAGGCAACTGGCGAGACCTTGTCTCTACAATGAATTTTAAAAATTAGCTGGGCGTGGTAGCGCGCGCCTATAGTTCCGGCTACTTGGAAGGCTGAGGCAGAAGGATCGCCAGAGCCCAGCAGGTTGACGCTGGAGTGGCCATGAGAGTGCCACTGCACTCCAGCCTGGGCGACAGAGTGAGACTCCAACTCAAAAAAAAGAAAAATGCTACATCAGACTTTTGGTGCTATAATTATAGAGAGGAAATGGAGGTGGACACTGGCCTCAAAGGTGTTTGAATAATATGTAGTTCTAAAAATAACCAGGCTACTATGGAGGCGGAGGTGGAACTATCCCTTGAGCCCAGAAGTTTGAGGCTGCAGCGAGCTATGATCGCGCCACTGCACTTGGGCCTGGGCAACTGACGGAGTGACTTGGGGAGCCAGTCTTCTCTCGGGCCAGGAGCCCAGGACAGCAGCAGAGGAGAGGGTATAGGCAGAGATCTATATGGGCCCCTCTTATAAATCTTCTAGGCCACAATTTGCTTCTTTCTTTTTTATCTTTGTCTTTGTCTTTTTTATCTTTGTCCAAATAATTTTGTCCAACTTTTTGTAGTTCACATTACGAAAGCAATAGGGTTTGCTTTATTTTGCTTTTCTGTTAATCCTGTTTATTTTATAAACAGTTTTATTGAGATATAACTTACATAACACAAAAATCACTCCTTAAAATGTACAGTTTGTGGCTGGGCACAGTGGTTCAGCCTGTAATCCCAGCACTTTGGGAAGCCAAGGCGAGAGGATTCCCTGAGCCTGGGGTTCAAGACAAGCCCCAACAACTTGGTGTGGTGGTGCACACCTGTGGTTCCAGCTACTTCGAAGGTTGAGGCAGAAGGATCACCAGAGCCCAGGAGGTTGAGGCTGCAGTGGCCGTGAGCATGCCACTGCACTCCAGCCCGGCGACAGAATGAGATTCCAACCCAAACAAAGCAAAACAGGGTCAGGCATGGTGGCTAGCGCCTATAAATCCCAGCACTTTAGGAGGCTGAGGTGAGAGGATTGCCTGAGCTCACAGGTCCGAGACCAGCCTGGGCAACTTGGCGAGACCTCATCTCTACAATAAATCAAGAAAAATTAGCTGGTGGCACATGGCAACAGTCCCAGCTACTTGGAAGGCTGAGGCGGAAGGATTGCTTGAGCCCAGCAGGTCAAGGCTGCAGTGGCCACGAGTGTGCCACTGCACTCCAACCTGGGCAACAGAGTGAGACTCCTACTCAAAACAAAACAAAACAAAAGAAAACCAAAGTCTGGTTTTCTCATCCAGGTTGGAGTGCAGTGGCAGGATTGTGGCTCACTGCAGCCTCAGCCTCCTGGACTCAAGTGATTCTCCTGAGCAGCTGAGAATACAGGCAGGTGCCACTATGTCCAGCTAATTTCTTTTTTTTGTAGAGACAGGATCTTGCTATGATGCCCAGGCTGGTCTTGAACTCCTAGGTTCCAGCAATCATCCCACCTCAACCTCTCAAAGTATTGGGATTACAGACATGAGCTACCAGACCCAGCCCAGATTTAATCTTTTTCTTTTTTTCTAAAAGCAGGATTTACTGAGAGGACAGAAAACTCCCATAGTGGGAGGGGACCCAAAGGGGTTGCCCCAGATTTAATTTTTTAAGCACTCCAATCTGTCAAATTATTTTAAACATTTCAAGTCCTTGAGATACCAAGTATGCATAATGCAACACACATAACACTGTTTGATTCTCATAAGCATGTCTATATGGAATTCTAAATCTTTCTGAAGCTGGAAAATAATTAACCAATAAGAAGCCATTTGAAGCCAGGCTTGGTGGCTCAGCCTGTAATCCCACGCCTTTGGGAGGCTGAGGTGAGT